GAGTTCTTGGTGTTCTCTGAGCTTGGTTGTTTGATTGCAGATGTTTCATTACTTGACTGGGTAACATCATCAGTGGGGTTTGCTCCTTGTTTTATATACAGTAGCTTGCCCGGTTTTCTGGGTGTGGTTTTCTCCTTTGTAGCTCCTTGATTAGGGTATTGCTTTCTGCTTGATTGTTTGTCTCTTGATTGTCTGTATCCTTGGAGGTTCCTTGATTAGAGTATTGTTTTCTGCTTGATTATCTGGTGTTAATCCCTGCTTATCTGGATGTAAGCTGCGGGAGAGGATGTGTTCTGGTCTTTTTGTTTCCTTCTTAGCTTTCTTAATGTCTCTTTGGAATCGTGTGTAAATGTGGTTTATCTCTATGGTATCTATTGATGACTGATGTATCTGAGTGCCAAGCTTCCAGGAATTCCTTGGTGTTTTTGGATGCTCATGGTTTTCCAGTTTAAACTATGGTTGAGTTTGTTCATGTGTTGTGAGATTAAGGAGTTTTCATCATGTCTTCTGACTGCTAGTTGGTGTTCATGAATGTACTTGGCTAGTCTTCTGCATTTCATTCGAGGTCACAGTACTCTTTACATCCACAGAACCAGGATAGCCATGCAACTTTACATCCATAGCCAGGATAGCCAGTGCACTTTACATCCATAGACCTCAGGTTACCCATTTATCAAAAAGTGCCTGACCACTCAACCCACTACAGTACAACGAACACAAGATCAAAATACCCAGAATCATGGATCTCATCAGTCTCTGCCTCACTACCTACTTTCAGTTTAATGGACAAATATACCAACAAATAAGAGGAACGCCCATGGGATCAGCATCTCAGGACTCATAGCAGAGACTGTAATGCAGCATCTAGAAACTATAGCACTCCCACCCATACAACCAAAAGTATGGATCTGGTACATAGACGACACCTTCGTCATAATAAAAAAGGAACAACCGAGAAGACACATGAAACTATCAACATCTTCAAAGGAATAAAATTCAATATACTACCTTTCCTGGATGTCTTCATCAGCAAAGGAAATGATGGCAAATTAGAAACATGTCTATTGAAAAACAACCCACACTAACCAAGCGCTCCATTACCAAAGTAACAATCCATCTTCCCACAAGAAGAGCTGTGTAAGAACATTAGTCAGATGAACACAAATGTACTGCAGCAACCCAGAATACCAGAAAAAGGAAACATTGTCTATACAACATCTTCCAACAAAATGGATACCCATGCAACTTTATCAGAAAGTGCCTGACCACTCAACCCACTACAGCACAAACAATACAAGCTATGAAAAGGATAACACTGTCATACATCAGAAACTTCTCATAAACAACCAAGAGACTATTACAACACACAGCATCACCATAACAGACAAACCAACTAAAGCCCTCCAAAACATCTTAGGTACACTGTAGCTCAAAAAGAAAAAACAGGAGTCATCTACAACATACAATGTAAGGACTGTAATAGCCACTATGTATGACAGACAGGCAGAAGACTAGCAGAGCACATCCATGAACACCAACTAACAATCAGAAGACATGATGAAAACTCCTTAATCTCAAAACACATGCACAAACTCAACCATAACTTCAAGTGGGAAACTGTGAGCATTCTAGACCAAGCTAAATCCAAAAACGCTAGGGAATTCCTGGAAGCTTGGCACTCAGACACATCAGCCATCAATAGACACATAGAGATAAACCACATTTATACACTATTCAAAACAGACAATAGCTTGGCACTCAGACACATCAGCCATCAATAGACACATAGAGATAAACCACATTTATACACTATTCAAAACAGACAATAAGAAAGGTATTTTTATTATTCCTATTTGCATTGATTCCCCAGTGCTGATGCCCAAGGAGGCTATAGGGAGGGGAAGTAGGGATGAAGTGAAGCTGGAAAACGTTCTCATCTTAGTATTTCCTCTCTGACTCAACTCTTCCAATCACCCATCAATTAACATACAACAATGGAAAAATCTTTTTCCAAATTATCTGGTGTGCCTTGTCTCACTAACTCATTTCTCAGTTCATCAGCAAGGCCTTCCTGAAACTAATCAATCAGAGCAAGATCATTTCATCCCACATCTCTGGCATATACTGACTATTAGGAAGCACTATATGACTGGCTTTGTTCTTCTTGGAATTAATCAAACATAGATACCCCTAGGTCTTTTGTATGCATGTATTGTGTGCATGCTGCATATTTATCTATTTTCAATCCAACGTTTTGGAAGCTGTTCTTCATGTCACTCAATAAATGCACTTTTTAGCTGAAATTTGGCTATGTTTCTCTTAAGGACCACCTGAGACTTTGCTGACTTAAATTCTAGCTAAAACAAACTGAGGAGAGTCCTTGGCCCAGCTTACATTTTTCAATAGTTACACCTCTTCTTTAAAAAAGCAAATAGATTTGTCTTTGTCTCACTACAGGCTGTTTCCCCTAACTGTATGCTCAGTAGGCCCAGATAAACTTTGGCAGAGCTTAAGCAGAGAATCTTGGACATATAAGTTGAAAAAGATAGATAAAAAATTATAGCTATGCTATTTGCTATTCCAAGCTTGCAGATGCTCTTTTTCTTATACCTAGATATTTTTCTCATATCTTTTGTATCTACATAGCATCTACTCATCTACCATTGAGGGCAGGGCATCAAGTCATGCCAGTGTAAATGCCCTGGCTTCAAATAAATATCATAATATTCCTTATCAGAATTGCCTTTATAAGTGGTCAGCCAAAAAAGTTGAGTTTGTGCACATATGTTTCTAGACTGCCCCTTATATCACATCTGGTACTTTGATCTCACTGAACCACTTTGTAAACTTTTCCATCTGTCACAATCAGTGATTACAAGCTGTTGCAGGATCAATGTACTGAAACATCGAAGAAAGTTGCAAAAGTCTTAGCTATTGTTGTTGTTGTTTAGTCGTTAAGTCGTGTCCGACTCTCCGTGACCCCATGAACCA